CACGCTGCAGGATAGTCCACTCGGGAAAGACCTTCGATTGTAAAAGAATGGGAAAATAGGTTTTTAGGTTAGTCGGATTAGATAAAACGGGCAATCTAACGCTAAATTTACCAGTATGTGATAGGATTTTGATCAAGAAATAAAAAGAAAATAAAAATAAGATAAAATAAAATTACCACATGAGAAGCGGTCATATTTGATGTTTTCACCGCAGCATCATTTATAGACCCGGCGGAGTTGGCAGTAATAAAAGATGTCGAGAGAGCTGTCGCCTTAGGAACGAAATGCGGAACAGGCGTGGCACCCACAATTTTAGGAGTAATGGAACTTACAGATATTTCTTTAGAATCTATAGACTTTTTATTATCTTGATTTTTTATTTCTTGCAACTTTTGCGAAGCCATCAATTGTTCTGCAAAAGCTTTAGATTGCTGTTGAACATCCGATGATGCATTTTGTACTGTTGGATTATGTCCGACTAACATCGCAGGAATACATTGAGTGTGAGGTATAGGATTATTCTGAAGGCTCTTTACATGTGAACTATTTGCTGAAATGGTGGCGATCGGAGAAGAGTTATGTTCCGCGTGAAGCAAACTGACACCGGCGTCATTCGTGTTTAGAGGATTTAGCCGAAGTGAATTATTCTTTTGAAAGTAGAGGCCTGACGATTAGGAAAAGTTCGACGTGTGTGAATGGCATACAAATTTAATCGACAGAGGAAATGTGGCCAAGTTACGCGGTAAAATCTTCGGGATGAATCCAACCATTATTTGCACTCTCGGACTTACCGCACGCATTACATAGCGTCTAAATCGATAGATCATTCAGACTACAATCTACCATGAAATTGTAAATCACTTCAGTATCTTAGAATTATGGAATTTACCAATACCTTTTCACCGTTAGGACCTTTTCTCAAAAGTGGAGTTGACGTTGAATGACACCCGCATCCATCGCATTGCCATTCCCCTAACTCTTTGTTCGCTAATCCTACGCGCAATTCATTATAAAGAAAAGAAAATATCAGTTTATTTATCAAACGCAAATAATAATATATCGAAAGTCAATTTTTCATTATTATTATTTTTTTTTGTATCGTATTCCATATTTTAGATAAAAACTCGGGAATTATAGGGGCATGAAAAAACCATCAATATAGACCTAACTCACGTCGATGAGGTCTTTTTGTTCCTTCCTTCGACTCTTTTGGGGGGCTGAGACCTACCGAGCCAGACCTTCCAAAGTTATTCACATCGAAGTTATCCAGGGTATTCACTTGAACACTTCCACGCAGATTACTTCCGCTAATGGCGGTACGCCCGCGGCTTCGTATTTTCCCCTGAGGCGTGGACGATTTTTCCGAAATTGCAGAATAATTATCATAACCCATGGAACTTGCTTTACGCTGTACGGGAGGCATGCCGGACGAAAGCACCGTTATAAAACTATTTTCATCCGCCGGGTCCGGGATTACAGTAGTATTGTGAAGAAGGGTACGATGAGTTTTCGGCGGTTCCCGATCTGGTAAGATTACACCACGTCTTCCACGCGTTTGTCTTCTTTTGCGTCTAATGGATTTTTAAATGTTATAGAAAAAGTTTGATCAATATAACCGAAGGTTACGCGATATTCGTGTTCTTTTTTTTTTTTTTCCGCTAACCATCATAACATATTGTATAGAACATAGCAGAATTAAAATATCAGAAACAATAAATAAAGATTTAAACCTAGCGTCTCTTTCTCTATCCTTTTCAATCTTGTCTATTTCGGTCTCGGTCAACTCGACTAATAGTGGTGTATGCTGATCCACAGAATCCTCTCTCCGAATAATATTTGTTACCGGTGGCAAAAAACTTTGCCGAAGATCGTCGTCTTGTACAGGTGATCCATCAAATGGATGACCAACCAAGATCAATGACTTAACATATATTTGTATTTGTTCGCGAATTGAATGTGCTATTGCAGTTCTTTATATTCGATATATATCAGTTTATATAATGAGAATTGAAAATTAATGGATAACGGATTTAACTTACTTAAATTCTCCTCCCAGACCCAACTCAGCTGTTAGAATCTCTGCAAACAATTCTGGGTCATTTTTCTGGCAATTAATATCCCATTCAAATTGATCCACCAATGAAATATTTCCAACGGTCACATCGATCTACATTGAAAAGCAAGACATGAATTGCAAATCTTGTGGCACAAAAAGTTCCACGTGAAATTCAAGGTATACCTTTATTAAGATGCGCAGTTCCTCATGTGGGTTAATCTCGTTCATATTCACTTCATCATACGATGAAGTGAGCTCATTGTCATTTTCAATATAATTATCCAATGATGTAACTTTCAGTTCTGAAAATACGTCAGCGGTTAAAGCGGACGTTGGCGGTTTCGTAGAAGATAGTGGATGAAGGATATATCCTTGCAGCTGGTCACGTATTTGCTTTACAATTAGAGGGGCGAATGTCGAAGCTGGAAAACGCAGATCATCGCATAGGACTTCTGCAAAATGTTCGGGCGTAATGTATGTTTCTGATCGGACAAGATACGCTCATAAGCATTTTCAAAATTAATTTATAAAGTAAGAGAGAAAACATTGATTTGGGGAAAATAATATTACCATTCACATTCCAGGTAAATGTATCTCGCAATTTATAGCCATCAGCTCCATCGATCTCTAATCGGATTGGAACTAAATTATCCTCTTTCTCTGCGACATCTTTCAATTGTTGACGAGAACTAGATACCAGACCAGTTTATGTGAATAATTTGCATCAAACCTTTTGTGACAATCTCTTTTAGCAATAGTGGTGGTAGTGATACTCACAATTTAAACTCCCTAGTTTTCTTATGCCTTTTCCTCTCATTCGGATACACAATACGAAACCTTGTGCCTGTTGATCCGTTGCCGTATCCTTCATACCCCGTACCAAATGCCAATATCCCAGGACGAGATTGATATCTTTCTACTTCTTTACGTTTCTCATTGATTATGCTAATTTGTCTTTTGGATTGACAATCCAACGATCGCTGATAAAGTGAATCACGACGTACATATTGTTCGAGATACTTTTTTTGAACTGGTGTAAGATCCGGTGCAGGTTCATATGTCTTCCCGCTGGATGATGAATGGGGTCTTTTCGTGGACAAATCTCCAGTTTGCTTCGGATGAGATGGGCGATGATGAATGTTCTGTGTGGATGTGGGATGTTGAATTGGTCTTCTTATTGGAATCATTTGTTGCATTCTTCGATTTTGCAATTGCTGTTGCTGCTGCTGATTTTGTAATTGCTGTTGCTGCTGATGATTTTGTAATTGCTGCTGTGGTTGTTGTTGTTGTGGTTGTTGTGGTGGTTGCTGTTGTTGTTGCGGTTGTGGTGGTGGAGTTGGTTGTGGTTGTTGCTGTTGTTGTTGCTGTTGCTGCTGTTGTTGTTGATACTGCTGTTGACGTTGCTGATGTTGAATAGATATCATGGGCCTAGGCCCCATTTGACTTATCGGGCGATTGAATCCGGGCTGTTGAAATACATCTAGCCCTACGTTGCTGATATTATTCTGAGATGGAAAACCCAACATGTTTGTATTCATATTATTGCTATATACGGGATTATTCATGGCTGGGATTGAGGGCATTGGAGTAGCGGACGTCACAGGTAATGACTGACGATTTTGGAAAAGATATTGGTTGGTGAGATTAGCTCCGCTCTCCCCACTCAAACTCCTTATTTGTTGGATGTTACGGTTATTAACGGCTCCGTAGTTGCGTTCAATTGTCGACTGTGACTGCTGAGGAATCGCCATGTTCATTGGACGCTGTGTCGCCTGATGTGTGCTAAAATTGTTAGCAAATTGTTGCGGTTGTGCTTGCTGCTGCAGAACAGCAGGATTAGTTGAGAGACCCAATGAATTAGGTGTATATCCGGATTGTTGTTGTTGATTCATCGATGACAACGAAGAGTAGAAAACCATGAATCAATCTATCTCCGTCAATTTACTGTATCTTTAGGATGAAAGAAAGTAACTACCGTTAATGGTATTTGATCGTCAGCCGGTCAGGTGAATATGCACGTTTTATGTGGATGCGTGTTATATACTATATATTATGTGTTTAACACGTTCAAAGAACACAATTATGTCCCTCGTGAGGAGTTCTTTAATTAATTCTCAGAGCAGCTTTGAGCATGCTACATACTCTTTCTTAAAAAATACCTCGCGTATTTCTGCGGCAAGGTGTAAACCTCATTTTGTAAACAGAAATCAAATCTTTGGAATTAGGCGAAGGCAATTTTTTTTTAATGGAAAAACGCGAATATTTCATTCTCCACGAGAATATCCGCCAGTTTCAGAATATGAACGGTTTAGAAATGCGATTCCTTTCTATAAAAAGCGAACATTTTGGATATACGTTGGCGGGTTGGGAGGAGTCACTGGTGTTTACTACGTAACTCATATGGAAACAGTTCCAATAACGAACAGACGGCGTTTCATGGATATTTCACCTAAACAAGAAGAATACATCGCACAGCAAGCATATAGACAAATTATTGAACAATATCGAAGGAGTCTTCTGCCATCTTGGGACTCTCGTACTCGATTTGTCAAGAGAGTCGCGGAGAAGCTCATTGGGGTCAGCGGAATGCAAGGTCTTAATAGTTTTTCCCCGTTGCACTCTGTAGATTTGATTAGACGGTATATTAAAAAGTTTTCAAATTTCAGATTTGAAGTGGGAATTTCATGTCATAGATTCGCCCGAGAAAAATGCGTTTGTTCTACCAGGAGGTAAAGTTTTTGTTTTTACTGGAATTTTGCCGGTCGTGAGGAATGAGGACGGCTTGGCAGCTGTTCTGGGACACGAGGTTGGATTTATTACGATGGCCTAAAGTCATTCATCATTCCACCCATTATATTAATTCGTGACATGTCTCCAAAGATTGCTCATCAAATTGCACGTCACAGTGCAGAAAAACTTTCGTTTACCAAAATCCTCATTTTGGGGCAACTTCTTCTCAGCTTAATATTTGACCCCGGCGTTATTGGCAGACTCTTCATTGACCTCGGGATACTGTACGTTCCTCCATAACGAGATCTTCAACGTCAATCAATGTGTCATATTTAAATCTAACTTTACACGCTAACTGACTTAGCCTGCCTTTTTCACGTAAATGCGAATCGGAAGCCGATTACATTGGCCTTCTCCTGATGGCTCAAGCCTGCTATGATCCCGAAGAAGCAATAGGAATGTGGGAAAGAATGAATAAATATCAGAAAGGGGTATCGCAATTTTTAAGTACCCACCCAAACCCTGAATATCGAATGAAAAACATACGGAAGTGGATGCCCGAAGCATTGCGCAAAAGAGCTGAAAGCGACTGCGTTCATCAATATGATGATTTCAGAAAAATCACGGATCAGTTCAGACCGCAATGGGCTGCTTGGTAATGTTACAGAGCATAAATTGCGTCTATTATTTTAATCGCTGTTCTGCTCTGCCGATTGTCGAGACTATTTTTTGACACAGTACGTAATTTCAACTTGATAATGTTGAATCGTTATCATCAAGGCATATTAACTTGATGGATTTTAACATATGATATGCTATTTATTGAGGGACAATGTAACGTGAATGTAAAATTTGCTGAGCGAATCATAATCAATTATGTACTAGATGATTTTTCTTTTAATCTTTTCTGTACAGTATATTGCAAAAAAAAAAAAAATTTTAATAATCCATAGCCAGGTTGCATTGGAAGTACCTTTTATTATACTCAAATTAGTACTATTAAGTTCGATGATAATTGAAAAGGCTCATTAATTATTTAAAATTATGATCAATTGCTTATTACAATCAATTATTTTAAAAATTAATCATTCGACCGTAACTACATTAAGAAAAGATCAAGAAGGAAATGAAAGTAAAATTATATGATTGTAATATACAATAACAATTAAATTTTTATTAAAAATCCAATTATTTAAATTTCGTATTTTTAATTTCTAAAAATTTCATAATTTTTATTATTAATAAAATTATTTAATTTATAATAAACTTTAGATTTTTATATAAAATATTGAAATATTTTATTTTATTTTATTTTTTAATGGGGTAAACGAAGCCAATTTTATTACTGTTAAGTCACAGGAATACTATGAATACCAATTACATGAGCTATTATATGAACTTTTATCCATCTTATGTGATCCTTTTAATGAGACTATTATATATTAAGTAATAAATCTATTTTGATAACAAGTAATCTTTTAGCCACTTGGCCAGCCCCTACGTGGCTTGTTGTTGGAGGAAACCCTGCTATCCCCCTACTTATGTCTGTATCTCTTTTCGATTTCATCTTGATCATGGTACAGAATCCCTTTCAAATCTCATCCCACCAGATAATCTTTTTACACTACTTATTACAATATGCCTACGGAGTACTCACGTGGAGTTTTCAATGTCATCTCATCCCACCAGTGATCCTTTTTACATGACTTATTATATCTTGCCTATGGGGTGACCATATAGAGCCTTGGATGGATATTTTTTGATAAAGATCTTTCTCTAATCAATGTACCTGGGCTCCATTAATATCTGCTTTTTACAATATGCAGATCTTCCACCTATCTGCAGGAGCTAATAGAATCTATTCTAGGATAAGGTGACTTCAGTACTAAAATCAGCTGAAGCATCTTGTGATTTTTTGGTTGCCTCATAATCAGATAGGATCTTGACTTTAAGTGACAGTAATCATCATCATGAGATGAATGAAATCTTTCTGTATCACCTAAGCTTATGTGATACTGCTTCGCAATAGTATTGAACTCGGAAGTAGTACTTGGCAATTTGGAAGCACTATTATTGCGCCATGGACCCACAGATAAAAATAGATTCCTAAAGGGGAGACAGGGACAAAAGTCAAATGTCTCTCACTAGGAAATATTAAAATTTTTAAATTAATAGTCATAAAAAAACTATCTACAATTGTTTTTCATTATTCAAATCATTGATTTATAGAATTTACTAACTTTTGTTCCTATTAAAGTAAAGAGTTATGAATTTTGTCCCTTAAAAAGAGATATAAGTGATCTGCAAAATTTTATATGCTAAATACTTTAGGGATCCATCATTACCCACAAGTCTTAAAAATATTTTATAGATTTATCAAACTATTTAAATTTTTTAATAAATTCCAAGCTATTATTTTGATAATTAAATTTAAAGCTTTTAAAAAGATATATTTTTAAGTTTGAAAATTTTTTATTTGTTTTATTTAAAAATAAAATCTTAAAAATTGATAATTTTAAATTAATAGTTTAAATAATAAAATTTTGAATTTTTAAATAATTAAGAACAATATCTTAGTCTATGGAACAATTCTAAACAGTTGTATCTATAATAAAGAAATATAGGGTCTCAAGAGTATCTGGAAAATACAAGTAGGAAGCCATATATCTATACTTTTCTATTAACTTAATAATAATGAAATCTTTGATATTGCTACTATAATTAGTCTAAAATAAAGTCAAATCAAATATTGAGAGCCTGATAATATTCTAGATAATTTTATTGACTTTCAAAAAATTATTAAAGGAAATTTGACAATTGCAATACTGGTTATAATGAAAAATATACAAATAATCTTTCAAAGTTAGAGATGGAAGAAAACATTTGATTATAAGGAGAGTATTCTATTTATTAAATCAATATTATAAGATAATAAAAAAATATAAAAAAATTATTCTATTATTATAAAAGCATGAGATTATATTCTTAGATTAGTTAACATGATAATATAGAAGAAATGAAGAGCAATTCAAATTCTCTTTAATAAATAAAGGGAATTAATCCTTTTCTAATATAAAAAAGTTTGAGAAAAGACAATAGTGAATCAATATCTTCTATAAAACTCTCTACATGAATTCAAATAGATAGATTACAATATGTAAATTGAAATATTCTCAACAAATCTAAATAGAAAAAAATATATTAGATAGTCTATACTAATACTTCAACAAACATATTAGGAAAAACAATATTTATAAACAACAAATTCTATTTTATTTTATAATAACTAGTATATGATCTTACTAGTAATTATACTCATCTTTAATCAGATAGAATAGTGTAGTCATTAAAAGTAATTCTATCACAAGTTCACCTTCTTCTATAACTAAACATATATAACAATTTAAAAAAAAGAAAACAAATTCTTTTGTCAAAAAATCCTATAGACTGACAAATAAACACTTATAAATTAACAGTAACTTTATCAACTAGTGTTTACAATTTTGATCAGAATTTGATTGATTTATGAATCAGATACAAATTGGATCAAATCAAATTTCAAAATTTTTAATCTGATCAGATTCGGATTAAATCAAATTTTAAATTTACAAAATTATCAGATTCAAATTGGATTTGGGTCAAACCCAATTAGATTCAAATCAGATTTGGATTAAATCTGATATACATTAATTCAAATAATATATGCACCAGTCCACATAAATTGTTATATTTCATTTAAATCAAACTATCTAGAAAATTAAAATCAAACTATCTAGAAAATTAAAATCAAACTATCTAGAAAATTAAAATCAAACTATCTAGAAAATTAAAATCAAA